TGATATGCTGTTCCATGTGGGCTTTGTTGCTTCTGAGCTAGATGGCCGCTTGTTTACCTTCAAGCTTTTAAGACCGCAGATGTTGTATCTTTTGATAGCCGGGCACCATCAGCTTTCTTCACCACATTTGCTTATTCACCCACCTTGTCCTCAGTGTTTGTTTCGGGAAGGTGAGCATCATAGAATGCCAATTTAATAGAAGAAAGTATTCTTGCTTTGAGGGAGTACTTGAGTGGAGGCCCAATGTCCTTCTGCTACCTTAACGCTAAACCTATAAATATAGGCATATAGATCTATTTCCCCATCCTCATATATAAGTATATTGCATATGTACATGTCTTTATCTAGACCTCTGTAAATTCCCTTTGCCTCCCAGCTCTTTCCTCTATTTCCCTTGGCTTTCCTCATGTCCCACGATCATGCTCAGTCCCCACCAGGGTTTCAGCAATTCCTCTTTGTTACATTACCCTTGATCATGCCCTACCAGGCCTCCCACACCCACCTCTCCACCAATTTGGATCACTTTTTGTTCCCTTGTCCCTTGCACACAGCCTCATCTTTCTCCCTCAGAGCTCCTGCTGGGTTCAAACTGCTAACCATGTGATCAACAGCCCGATGCATATCCCATTACATCACGAGGGCTCCTAACCATATACACTGCCTACAGAAAGGCATTCTTTTTCTCTGAGGGTTGGTGGGTGCAGGACATCACACTATACTCCCAGAGGGTGTTGATTCTATAGTCAAACAGATGCAAGATGCAATTGCTCACCTCCAAAGGATTTTTTTTTTAAACCAAACATTTTATTGGGGGCTCTTACAGCTCTTGTAATAATCCATCAATTTTATCAAGCACAGCTGTACATATGTTGCCATCATTATTTCCTAGACATTTATTTTCTATTGAGCACTTCCTGTCAGGCCCTCTTCCTCCCTTCCACCCTCATGAACCCTTGATACATTATAAATTCTTATTATTTTCATATCTTATACTGACCACTGTCTCCCTTCCCCCACAGTTTCTGTTGTCCAACCCCCTACGGTGGTAGGCTGTAGTTATGTGTCTCATAATCAGTTCCCCCTTCTTCCCCTCCTTTCCTGGTCTTCCCCCTGCCCTCCAAATGATATTTATACATAGCATTATTGATAAACCTTCACAATGAGCCTCTAGGAAGGGCATGATTGAGAAAATCATTTTTAGAGCAGATTACCAGAAAACCCTGCCCTGCCATTGCCATTGCCATTGCCATTGCCATGGGCCTGCGTGCACTGAACTACAGAGCATGAAGAACACGTGCACCTAGGTACCCTGACCGCTCAGGTCATTCGTCACAGGTGCCCCCGTCCCTGCGAAGTCCCCACTCGTAGATACACCCTGCTTTGGACTCTCCTGATCGTTTCTTGCCCAATTATGATTTCATATCTTTTAGTTCCTGCTCCAACTGTCCAAAAAAGTCCTGCGCCCTCGTTGTTTGGCGGCGTGACCATCGCTCAGTGAACCTGGATGTCTTCAAGGTTCGGACTGTATCCGTCCAGTCTCTGCTTATTAGCCTATTGTTGCAGCTGGAGAGCAGCCGCCTGGTGTCGGTTGCTCTGTGGTGACCTCAATAATAGACTCAGGCATGGACATGGCACACGGGCAGGCCGTGCACTCTGCTGTCACCTGTAGATCGCCATGAGTTGGAACCAGCAACTCTCAATATGCGCACGATAAACTACAGACTCTGCTTATCGTTTAGTGTGTTTAGGTGCTTGTTGCCTTCCCTGCTGGAATTTAAATTCGGTAGGAGCAAGAGCATTATCTGCCTTGTTCACAGCTCTATTCCAGCACCTAGACCTGCGCCTCGTGAGAAAGACCACTCAAGAAAGTATGCTGAATAAAATCTGCATGCCGCCGAGCCCCTTGGCTCTTGTGAGTGCAGTGGGGATACTAATCCCCTTCTGCTTTGCCCATTCTGGACACAGCGAGATAAAGTCACGTCTGCTCCAGTACTCTGAACACTGCAAATCATTAGGCAATAGGAATTGGTGGTGCTGAGGAAAGATGTTTCTTGACATAATAGGGCTTTGGTTTTCGGGTGGTCTTCAAAAAGTTCATGGGAAAAACTCCATAGTCTTTTCATACCATTTTTCTCACAATTTTGAAGTCCTCTTGTGCATGAAAACACATTGATTTTTAATTGCATCCCAGAGGACAAATATTTAGCTCATAATTGCTCGTTCCATTTCTCTTTCGGATAAAATCTACACTCTGGAAAGAAATACTTATCTACGCACACAATCAACAAGTAACTAAAGAACTCTACCCAAGATTGGACTCTTCAGGAAATAAAAATAAAACCAAACAAAGACTGAAGACTGCATGCAATATTTAACTTCTAGTAAACCACAGAAGAAATTTAAATTCTGAAAAAAATTTAAGAAGAACATACTCAAACTAGTCTTTTTCCTAGGACCCGAGAGAAAAGTCTTTGGAAAAGAATTTCTAAATTGAGGTGAGCAAATTAATCTTTATAAGTCTTTATGTGTGAGGAACAGAGGCCATATCACACAGGTCAGTCGTCTGTATTTCTAAACCTAAGGTTCAGCTTCACATGGAAAGTTAAAAAAAAAAACCACAATCAAACTAAGCCCTAAACCCCACTGCCCTTGACTCGATCCCGAATCATAGAGACCCTGTAGAACAGAGTTGAACTGTAAAAAACGTCATTTTACTGGCACAGAATTTAGGCGGTTCAACTTATTTTCCAAATGTTGGCCCCTTATGGATTCTAGCTTTCCCTGTCGTTGTTCTTTGTAGTAAAACAGAGTTTAAAATGTCAGTTGTATACAAGTTGCTGAAACTACCCACCTCGACATCTCCGAAAAGATCCCGGAAGATATAAAATAAGTACACATAACTGAAAATCAACCGACTTCCAAACTCGGGGAGAAACATCCGCTCTCAATCCGGTGCTGCTGAGCTCAGAATAAATAAAAAGGCAGCCTGCTCTCTACGAGTTGGCATCGACTGGATGGCAGTGAGAAAAAGAGCAAGAAAGTCCACAATGTGCAGCCTCCCCACGCAAAATACCGACGGGAGAAGGGAGATCGTAGACCCTGATTCCCACCCCGCAGCCGGTTCTCCGGAGGAAGATGAGACTTCCGGCTCCCATAAAGACTTCCGGCCTCGGGAGTCAGCAGAGACGGTTCTCCTCTGTCCTACCCGGCGGTCCTGATGGGGAATCAAGTCAATGGCATGACTTGGGACTTTTTTTGAGCTTTCCTTATGAACTTGCAGCCCAGGTTTCGTAACACAAACGGATGGCATGCCACTCATGACCTGTGTCCCTCGCACACATAAAGCTCGGTGCTTCCCTTGGCTCTATCTTCTCTGTTCCTGTGGCTTCGAATTGCTTCACAGCATGACACTTTTCAAAGTAGAGAATCTTCTTGCTGTAAGTGGGTAAGGTGGAAAGCTGGAGCAAAGGGAAGGGAAAGCTAAACGTACTCTTGTGGGGGAATCCATATACCTGGTCATTTGTATAAAGTACGGTTTTTAATTGGTTTGTGTGTGGTGGAGGTGTGCGTAGTTAGGGTTCTAATGAAGCCTATAACCCTGGCTTCAGGGGAGTTGGGGGTGGAATGCACGGAGGCACATAGACCCCAAAGGCTAGTGCATTTTCAAGAGGGTCAGGAGCCCCTCAAGTCCACGCATGAACAGTGGGGCTTCTTGACGGCTGCAAGTTTTGTAGGCCAGGGGTTGCGTTTCAAAATTCTCGATCGATGCTAAATACCACCAACCAGCCAGACTATGCGACTGGGATGCATTTGAGCCTTGACTCCAACATGCCTGAAATTCCATCATGAGCCAGTTCTATCATCTGGCTCGAGAGCTCTAGCTTATAAGCAGTGACAGCTGCTGCTTGTCTCGTGAACACAGCCCTCGAGACTCAGCACTTAATGCTGATTGAAGAAACAATAAAAAGCATAAATGAAAAGTCAGTTTGAAAGCCAGTCTGTAAGACAAAGAATGAAATTTGACTCACAAAATCTGTTTCAAGTTTTCCCATTTCTTGCTTATAGCTTCTCATTCTGTTGCTGTACGTTCCGCGACTTTGGGGTGGTATCTCCCGGACTTCCAAATCCATCTGCTCCAGCTGGAAAGAGGGAGAGGGAGACATGATCAAAACCACATGCTTACTCTTTACCAGACCAGGCATTCAGACTGGACCTGATCTCATTCTACGCTTTATTTGAGCAGCCACGCCGAGGGACTTAAGTGGTCATGGCCAAAGAGCTCTAGATGACTTTGGCGGTTGATTTTTAATTAGGTCAACAGTGACTGGTCCCCTGAAGAATGACAACTGGCCAGGAATGTCTTGGAAGCACATGTATGATATGTAGCCCTCTGAGAAACTCCATGAAGAAGAATGTGGCATCAGGGTTGGAGCAAGCCTCGATAAGAACCTGTATCACTCAGATGACACACCGTGGCTTTGCTTGTATTAGCCAAGCTCACAGACTGCAGCCTTCAGCAGCGATTCCACTTCGGCGCAAAGACAACAGAAATCTTCCTGAGGGCACCAATAAGCAGTATCATGATAAATGAGGAAAACAGTAAAAGTAGTAAGGCTTTCGGTTGACTTGGGATGCGCAATCAAGGCCCATGAAAACAGCTGATGAGAAATCAAACAGCACCGCAAGGAGCAAACCAATGGCAAAAGACCTCCTTAAACTCTTTAACAGGCAAAGATGTCACGCTGGTGACTAAGAGGTGCCTGCCCCAGGCCACCCATTGTTAAGAACTTGTGCACGTGTAAAAGCCGGACAGTGAACAATGGAGACGGAAGAACGGACGCGTCTGTACTCTGGTGTGGGTGCAGATCACTGAATATATGATGAGCCGTCAAGAGAACGAACAAACCTGTCTGAGAGGAAGCACAGTCAAACGCTCCTGAGAAGCAAGGTAGCAAGACCTCATCTTGCTCTCTTCAGACATGAGATCTGATGAAGGCCAACAGGCTTGGAAGAGTACAGGGTTAGCCAAGAGAGGCAGACCCTTGCAATGGTGAAGGTTATTTGTCAACTTGACTCAGCTGTGGTTCTCGGCTGTCTGGCGGTTACGTAACAATGAGATTTGGAATGGTGTACTGATATAATTATCCTCTATTTTGTGGTATGATATAATCACTCTTATTGTGTGGCTGGATATAATCAGCCAAGCAGCTGTAAGGGCAGTTTCCTTAAGGCTTTGGCCTGCATCCTCAGTAATTGGGTTTAGTAGCCCTGACTCAAACAAGGCAACAATGGTCAGGATGGTGTGGGACTGGGTCATGGTTTGTTCTATTGTATGCGGTATTAGATTTGACTCCATGGCACCTATCTGTGTAACAACAGCACCCGTGGGATAATCGATTACTCTGGTCTGGGCTTCTGAGCACGAACCACCCAAACGATGGGAAGATAAAACAACCAAACGGTGATTTCCCAGGAAATGTCAGCCCAGCTTTGGTGATTTAGTCAAATCTCTGATTAGGAATATCATATAGATATGAGCAACGTGCGCTCTCATCCCCCTAGCCTACCATCTTATCCTTCATTACCATGTTGACATACAGTCTCGGAAACCCACAGGAGGTCGCTATGAGTCAGGACTGACTGGATGGCGGTGAGCTTGGTTTGATATGGAGTCAAATGGATACTGAGCTATCATGCTCAATCACACAAAGTTCCCTGAAGCCCCAGCAGTGCGCTTCTTAACAACCTGTAATCAAACAACACTGATGCAATTATATTACATAATCGGCTACTGTGAGGCGACAAAGAATTAGCATACTGATTCATAGCAACAGCTCTGGAGTCAGATTCCTGTGTTCGCAAAGTAAGCTCTACTACTTATTAGTCATATCATCTTGGACAGGTTTATCTTCTTTGTTTTGCCTAATTTTCCTAGCATTACTAAAAGTAGTGTCTGTTCCCGGGATGGCTATAAAGATTAAATGTGATAATTCCTAGAATGTGCTTAGAACAGTTTCTCTTTCTTGGTAAGCACTAAGCTAATGTTCACTAGAGGTAACATTATTCACTACTGGTGACACTGGAAGGTTAAGCACCGGCTGCTACCCACGAGGCTGTTGGTTCAAACCCACCAGCCACTCCATGTGTGAAAAATGAGGCTATCTACTCCTGGAAAGATTTATAGCCTCAGAAATCCAAAGGGCAGTTCTAGTTTGTCCACAAGACCACTGAAAGTTGGAATCAACTGAATGATAGTGATTAGGCTTTTCCAGCAGTGATGGTTACTGATGATGATGACGACGAACAATGCAGTTAAAAACAAACAACAACAAAAGCAAAAAATTATCTGAGGACAAGCCTGAAAAATCCATACACAAAAATATCGCCATATATTTTATATGTTAGAGCATTCTAAAATGTTTTTATCATGAACATTATAAGCTTATCATCAATAAAAGCTTTACTTACCCACTGTTAGAGCCCAAGTAACAATAATAAGATGCATATAAACCAGACAGCATTCTACAATGAAGAAGCATCAATTTTTATTAAAAACAAAAGCTAAAAATTAGATGGTTACTTAGCAAAGCAATTACTTTTAAGCATTTCTCTGAAATCATCAGCAAGTCCCATTTAGAGAAATAATTGCAAAAGTGCATGCAAGGGAAAAAAACCACTCGAATGAATTTTTGTTTAAGGGATTTTACTAGGAAGCTTACAACTAAATCAAAGGTCAGTAAGAGAGACAAAACAAGCAACCTGCTCTAACACTGGGGCCAGCAGCCAGGCTAACAGCCACACGCTCGATGCTGTCACACCACTCACCTAGCCATGATAAAATAGAATTATATGATCACTACAGATGTATAGTGTCCCTGAGTTCAACACAAACCAGTTTGTTCAGCAAAATAATAACTAATCCTAACAGTCAAAGAAAAAAAATTCTCCCAGGTTTCATCAAAAGGAAAGTAAACTAAATTAATAACACTATCAGTAGAATTGCTGTGTGCCCCAGGAAAAGGATTGATAATGTTCTCTAGCATAGAAGTCTGCTGATGTCTCTAAAATAAATAAATCATAGATATATGAAAGGACAGGAGCCCAGGTGGCATAGTGGTTACACACTGGACTGAGATCAGAAAGAGTCAACAGTTCAAAAGCACCAGCAGCCCAGAATAAAACCCAAACAACAACAACAAACAATGGGAAGGAGGGTTCTACCCCCATAAATAGCTACAGTCTTGGAAACTCACAGGCTAGGTTTACGCTGTGCTAATAGGGTCGCATCTACTAGTGGCAGTGATTTTGAAATGAAAGGACTGGGGCTTACACTGAATTCTAGCCCCTATCTAAGAACATTTGGTTCGTATGACAAGACCCTGCTTGATGCTTGCCCTCATGAAGAAAGCACTGAACATATGGGTGTTATAGCAAAGTGTGGTGAAGAAACTAGGCGGTGTTCAGCTATCAGAAAGAATAGCATCTGGCACCTTGAAGACTTATCTTTTAACAAGCAGCAATCTAAGTGAGGTGTCGGCTAAGACCACATGGAAGAAGCATGCTACCTATAAGATCCAAGGACTGTAATAAAACTCAAACCCAAAGGAGGGAATGGTATCAGAGTCTAAGTTGTGAACACCTGGCTAACAGAAGGCTATGGATGATAGTGGAAGTCCAAAATCCATGTGCAGGGTCCCCACATGCATTAGGCCTTTGGTGAACCCCCTCTGACCATAGTCCAGGGGTGTGAGTAGCCTGCTGTCAGGCAGAGACCGCTGTATAGTTGATTATGTAGTGAGGTTAAATTGTAATACCTTAATCATCATTTGATCTTCCTTTTGACCCATTTTAAAGTTGTTTAAGTTTTTAACATTCTCTGCTGTCTTTCCTATTGACGTTTTTCTGTTTTAGGCAAACAGGGGAAATTGGCAAGGGAACTTGGGTGTGTTGGGGGGGGGGGGATATGGAGAGCTAACTACAATGAGACTAGAAAGAAAAAGATGTCCTGAGATTGATTGAAGAAAATGTGGTCATGATTGCACGAATTTTCTTAATAGGATTGAATAATTAAATTGTATGACACGTGAAATCTGTGCCAATAAAACTTATTTCAAACCTAGAGAAGTGATGTTGGCATCACCTTGTTAAAAAGGGGCCGCAGTGATCTCTGCACTAGAATAATCAGTGATTTGAGAAACAAAGGGCAGTGTTTCCCCAGGGACAGAGGGCTGGGAAGGGACACAGGAACGACTGGGAGGCACAGGGATAAGCTGGCACATCGAGGGGAGTGAAATGGATGTGTTGGAACAAAACATGCACAAACCGTGGAATGTACAGCACATGATGTACTCTGTAAATCAGCTACATCACAGCAGAAAGTAAAAACTAAAAACATGGCGTCTGTTCATATAATGTAGCGATGTCATCAGCAATTAGCAAATTCATGTTCTGATCTCTTTCAACAAACAGAAACATATCTCATGTCACAATAACTAAAGATGAAGAGACGACTACAGCTTCCCTGCCTTTCCATTTCTTGTTACTACGAGTAGCAAGCATGAAACACCAAACTGGGTGAGCAGAACACCAGCGTGTCGAAATCATTCGGTCAACAGACTGTCTCTGGAAGAAGGCCAGCAAATAAACCCCAACCCAGACACAGACTTTGGAAGCTTGGGTCTGCCGCCAGGAGCCCAAGAACTGAAGAGTCCATGAGAGAGAGGTGCAGAGGTAAGCCTGCCAACCTGAAGAGCCACTCGGGTATGCAAAAGGTCAGTCTTTTTACAGGCAAGCCAAGAAGCAGGAGAGAAGCGAAGGAGAAGGCCAGGGAACATGAAAGGCAAGGGAACTTTCAAAAGAGGGGCAAACATGAGAAGCGGTGAAGAGGAGAAGCCCAGGCCACCCCTGTGACAGTGGCCGGCAGGAAGGAGGGCAGCAGACGTTCCAGCAGCTGCGCACCAGCGATGGCAACACGGGATAGATGGGTGATGTGACGCCATGCCTGCGCCCCTGATCGCACAGGGGAAAGTCTGCTGTGTGGCGGGGAACAACTGCCATCGATCCCTTAAGCAAGTCATCACCATTGAGTTGATTCCAACTGACAGTGACCCTGTGAAGACAAAGAACTGCCCCACAGGATTTCCAAAGCCATACACTTTATGGAAGGAGCCCTGGCGGTGCACGGTGGTTACACATGGGGCTGCTGACAACTCCGGTTACCCACTGGGCTGCCAAGTACAAGGTCAGCAGCTTGAAACTACTAGCCCCTTCGCGGGTGAAAGATAAGACTTTCTACTCCTGTCTTGGAAACTCCCAATTATTCCTATGTTTGAGCCCAGTGATGCAGCCACTGTGTCAATCCATCTTGTCAAAGTCTTCCTCTTGCCCCTGCCTGATACTTTACCAAGCATGATGTCCTTCTCCAGGGAATGGTCTCTCCTGACAACCTCCCCAATGTACTTTGGGCTTGCTTGGCAATATCTTGGCGCAGTGCCTTACACCCCCACTTATGGGGTGTGGACCCTCAGACAAGTTCACGTTTGCAAGCCTCAGAATCCCCTTCTACACAGTGGGGTTCTGGCATCCCTCTCCCCAGCCCGTCAGGCTCCTGCTCATCTGACTGGGTGAACCAGCGACACAGGGTGTTGGTGGCTATGTACCCAGGCCACATTGCAGGGCACTGTGTGTTCAGGGAGCAGCCTCCAGGGGTGCATCAAGTCTCCCTCTGGGACAAGGAGTAGGCTTGCTCCCAGGCTGCCATCCAGCGATGAGGCCCCCAGGCTCTGCGTCCCTCTCCTGTTAATGTACTGCAGACACATCTCCCCTGTGAGATGAGACTGACACAGCCATGCGGGCAGGCAACACACAGCTTTGGCTGCGAGTAATACAACTGTTCATCTCTGACCCAGGAGCCTCCTGTCAGCTTGCCAAAAAACTATGTCAACCTACCTTATTGCTTTGCAATAGGATAGCATCGCGGATGCTTCACAGCTCTTAACAACTAGGACTTGTCTCACAGGACTTTTTGGGAAAAATTAGTATTATAAAGCAAGCAAGATGTCTGGCTCCATGTGTGGCACCCAGAAAGCATTTAATCATCATCAGTGATCCATAGATATGGTGAAAAGTGCTAAAAAGAAATAAAAATTAGAAGTGGACAAGGGGGAAGGGGGGAGGGAGGGGAAAAATGAGCACCTGATGCTGGAGGGCTTAAGTGGAGAGCAAATGTTTTGAGAATGACGAGGGCAATGAATGTACAAATGTGCTTACACAATTGATGTATGTATGGATTGTGATAAGGGTCGTATGAGCCCCTAATAAAACGATTTTTTAAAAAGGAAAAAAATAATAAATAAAAAAGTTTAAAAAAACAAAAATTCCTGAGAAGCTGTTAAGTTTTCCTCAATGTAAGAACAGATGGAGTGGAAATGGCCCTGGCTGAGCGCAAAGACACATGACCAAGCCTGTACATACCAATTCTTTTGCTTCTTCAAGCTGCTTCTCCACGTTGGCAACCATCTGTTTCTTCTCATCTGAAACAACAATATCAAGGGCATTGCTAAGAATGTGGTTAAATGGAATATTTCAAAAATTTTCCACCAAACACCTGGAAGGAATGAGGCAGTGGGCCTGGGGGCTTAGGACCAAGTCTCTTGGGGGACATCAAAGTCAACTGTTGGAGCACAGTCCACAAAGACGAAGTCTACACCCCACTTAGGTGACTAGCAATTGGGGTTTTAACAGCTTGTGAGTGACCACCTAAGGGATAACCATTTGTATCTGCCCCCCGCCCCCCGCCACACACAAAAAGAATGAAGAAAATCAAAGATGCAGGAAAACATTTAGCTCAAAGGCCTAGATGGGCCCTGAGACCAGACTCAATGGTGCCCAAATACCACTACCAATACTGCCAACTGCTCAGCAGGGGGTCATCATAGCGGTCCTGAAGAGAGTAAGAGAAAATGTGGAACACACTTCAAAAGCATGAAAAAGGCCACACTTACTGGTCTGATAGAGACTCGTGGGGCCTAAAAAGCCTGTTCCCTTTCATTCCTCTGCAGCCTGGAGCGGAACTCACCCCGGGGACCAACTCTCAGCCAACTGAGAGTCAAGTTTGGTGAGCAGCAGCATCAGCAAGGTCAGCACTCTGGAACAATCGGCCCCAGGAGATCAAAGGGGCAGCAGTTGTCCAGGGATCAGGCTCAAAGGGCCTGACAGGCCTGGCCGGGGAGGATGGACAGAAATGGAAACACCCAGAGGAGAGTGCTGTGCCACTGGGAGGACTGTGCCCCTGGGAGGACTGTGCCCCTGGAAGGGCTGTGCCCCTGGGAGGGCTGTGCCGCTGGGAGGACTGTGCCCCTGGAAGGGCTGTGCCCCTGGGAGGGCTGTGCCGCTGGGAGGACTGTGCCCCTGGAAGGGCTGTGCCCCTGGAAGGGCTGTGCCGCTGGGAGGACTGTGCCCCTGGAAGGGCTGTGCCCCTGGAAGGGCTGTGCCGCTGGGAGGACTGTGCCCCTGGGAGGACTGCGATCACCATCACGCAAAACCGCGTGTAGGAGTGGTTAAGTGGAAAGCCAATCTGTCTGTCAACTTGCAACCAAATCACAACTGAACTAAAATAAATAAAACCATTCCCCTATTAATCATATAATTGTTTCCCTTGTCAATCAGATTGGAGAATTATCCAATCAGGCAAATTCTGATGGGATCATTCTCTGGTGGGTTAGGAACCTCTTTGAGCCCCGGGTTCTGGGCTATCTGGCAAGGTGTGATTCTCCTGAGGAGAAGCTGAATTATTAAGAGATGTCACAACATTTCAAAGCGAATCCCAGCGCTTTCTTCTCTAAAAGAGACTATGTTAAAGTAGTGGTGGCCTGCGGAACATACAGCTTTAATTTTCTTACACGGGAATAAATCCGCTTAAGCATACTCAAACTCGCTGTCATCGAGTCAGTCCTTACCCGGAGTGACCCCCCCGTGGGTTTCCGAAACTGCAACTGTTGGGAAGTAGGAAGCCCCGTCTTTCTCTTGAGGAGCTGCTGATGGTTTTGAACTGCCGACCGCAGCCCAACGCCTAACCACTACATGACCAGGGCTCTAAAGTCACATACAAAAATGCTTCTTAAAACCAGGTTTTTACAATGCTTTTATAATGCCCAATGGATAATGATCCTGGTCAAGAAAGAATTTTTATTTTTAGACTTGGTATCTCTTCTCTAAAACGGAAGGGCGTGGATCTATTGGATTATCTTTAACTCAAATAAACAGATCCAAGTGAAATTAACTTTAAAGTGGGAAGGGCTAAGTATAGGTGTGGGTTGTTTATTCACACTTGATCACAATTACGTTACAGCATCTAGCATGATGCTCCTTTCTAGGAGAAGCAATCCTAGTAACTGGCTTCAGAAAGCTTCCCGGAAACTCCATTCCAAACCAACCAGTCCATCTGTTCACAGACCCAGCCTCGTTGTTCCGCTAATCAAACTCATTGATTAGTGTAGTTTTCCCGCCTAGCACCCTTCTCTCCTCAGGCAACAGTCCCCAGTCTTTGGGAAAATATCCCTCTCATTCAGCAAACAGATGAATGGAAGGTGTTAACTCCTTAGATGGCCATGCCGATCTGGTCAGCAGCTGGCATGAGATGGCCATCTCATCCTAGCTAAGCCAATCCTAGCAGCTCAATCTTTCTGGTCACATGGTTCTGAAAGTTGGGGTGGACACATAACCCCACGTTCTGGAGCAAGGGGAAACGTTTTGCCTCTCTCCTGATAGTTAAAGGAACATGAGTCGAGAGCAGCGGTTCTCAACCTGTGGGTCGCGACCCCTTTGGGGGTTGAAGGACCCTTTCCCAGGGGTCGTCTGATTCATAACAACAGCAAAATTACAATTATGGAGTAGCAACGAAAATAATTTTATGGTCGGGGGGTCGCAACAACATGAGGAACAGTATTAAAGGGTCACGGCATGAGGAGGGTTGAGAACCACTGGTCTAGAAGCTGTTGGCTTTCGATGCTCAAACCCCAAGGAGAAAGGTCGTCGGCACGGGCTGCGAATGGACTGGGCAATTGGAAAGGAACAAGCTGAGAAATGCAGATTGAATGTTTCACATTGTAGATAACTCGGAAACCGATTCTGTTTGACTCTATCGTGACTTGGTTTCTTGAAAGAGTACAATTCTTTTTCTTTACTTGGTTTCTAAAGTTTCTGTCCTGTTGATCCTAATGAACACTGATGCATACACAACAGGCTAAAATATCCTGAAGCTTGAAACAGGCACAACAACTACCACCTCACTGTCCCCCAGTGGCTGCGCAGTGCCCTAGAAGGGTGAGCCACACTCCGCGTAGAAGCTTCAGCACACACACTCTTTCCCTCGGACAATCAGACTGTGCTTGTTCCCTTTGTTCCTCCCAAACGAGGAGGGCGGCGGGAAGAGTAGCTGTTCAATAGGGCTCTTGTGTGCCCTCAAGATAGTTTTCCCTGGAAAAAAGACAGAAACCAGGATTCAGGTTCATTTTCTACTCTTGAAAAGAATGGCACATTCTCAGATCTACATATGGCCTGATTAGAAAGCTAATAAATGACCCCAAACGTATTTGCTTCTGGCAATTTTCAATCCTTCAAACCTCTCCACACAGGCGTTGGAAAGTATAGCTCGGTATTTTTGTGATAGAGCAGAATCTCATCTTAGATCGAGAATGAGACTGTATATTTTTCATATCAGAAAGAACTTGTTTTCTTTAAGGCACTGAAGGTGCTTAAGATCATGCTGTGACCCCTGGACCCATATGAACCATTGTTTGTCATTAACAAAGCAAGGAGCTTTGGGTGTTCTTTGTCTCTCATTAATAGGAACAACCTCTCCTTGGCAAAAACTAGTAAGTACTTTTGGGGCCTACTTGGTTCTTATTTGATCTTAGGGCATCTGACACCCTGTTCTGACCACCCTGTAACTTTCTCCTCTCCTGGGAAGTAGTTTCCCAATGGAAAATGGAAGTGTGGTTACCAGACAGGGTAGAAAATACTGGGCAGTCAGAAGCAACTGGGTGCCTACTGTACTCCTGTATCACAACCTCATAATAATCTGCCCTTATTTCTATCTGTCCAACCTCTACTCTGAATTCCTGCAGCTCTCTGTTCCACTAGAATGGCCCAGTGGGAACGAGAAACTCACTCCTGTATTTTTCTCTTCTGCCTCATATCCAACTCCGTGAGGGAAGGGGCCACTCTTGACATACCTTTGCCTCACTTCCATATTCAGTAGAGAGAACTATACTTGGTACATGTTAGATAAGTGCTTATTGAATGAATGAATGAGTCTCAACATTCAGCAACATATTTGCTACTCACAAGGAAATTGAAGAAAAAAATGTCCCAATAAGGATGGGGGAAATGTGTTCACTTGAAATGGCAAGTTTCCTTTTATATATATAAAAACATATATAAATATGTATGTGGATATATATATATGTTTATAGAAACCTTTTATAAAAGGTTAAAAAAAAAACTAAGCTTAAACTCAGTGCTATTGAGTTGATGCTGATGCATCGACAGGGTACCAGGAGAGGGTAGAACTGGCCCTGTGGGTTTCCAAGATGGTGACTCTTTACTGGTAGAAAGCCTAGTCTTTCTCCCACGGAGCAGCTTTCTCCTGTGGTTAGCAGCTCAACACATAACCATCCGTTTAGGACAGAAGCTGTTAAAATTGGATAGGGTGGGAGGTGTAATCTAAGCGTACTGCTCTCTTGTAAAAGTCACCTCATGGTAGCACTGTCATAAATAAATACAAAACAGTCCATTTTTGGCCCTCAAAAGTGCATATTCTTGAAAACAGAAGAATTTAAAAAGTAACAATTTGAGGGCAAAGAGTATGAGGAGGAACATAAGGGTGGAATTACATGACCTTGGTATCTACCATACTTTCTGATGGTCCTTACATGTAATTCCCAAGAAAGCATCTCTTTGTCATAGCCCCACAACATCCTCTTCACCAATGGCACCTTCTTGGGATTTAGAACTTGGTAAATAACAGCCATGTGTGTAACTATCTATCAGCCCTGAGGAGGGACCCACATTACCCTGTTTTCTCTCTAGCACACCCACTCAGAGAGTCACTCATTTTCCCACAGTTAGACAGCTAACTAATGGCAGAGGGCTGATGTCCAAAGCTGAGCTCTTTACCATTTATGCTCCCTATAAATAAACTTCCCCACTCCTCCCCCCATAGAAGCCTGATAAATACCAAGAGAGACCTAAGTCTCTGCAGAGTGTATTTGCACAGAGCCTACTCAACATGAACAGAAATGCTTAAGATTGAGTTACACATGCACATTTGCATAGTCTGATGTGCAGGTTGCCTTCTCAATGTTATCTGAAGTGCTCAATCTTGAAGACTCCCATGATTGGACAAAGTCTCAGGCATCCCTGAATCTAGTTCCTGGTATTGTCATTGCACAGTGGAAATGTTTTTAAATAAAATTACCAGCAGAAACCACATACTGGGAACTAGAATTAAGCCTGCTAATAGGGGAACTTT